CTTGAGCCTTGGGAGTTAGCCCCAAGGTGGCCCAGAGAGGGCAGGGTGGACACCTCATGTGGGGAGGGTGAGAGCCTTGGCCAGTTGACCTCACACGTTCACCCCTCCCTCCCCCACCACCCCCCCAGGGCTATGGCGTGTGCTCCGTGGGGCTGGAACGCCTGGCCTATCTCCTCGTGGCTTATGGCCTGGGCGCCTCCGCCTCCTCACTCCTGGGCCTGCTGGGGCTGTGGCTGCCGCGTCAGGTGCCTCTGCTGTCCGGGGCCGGGCTGCACCTGCTGCTCACCATCAGCCTCTTTTTCTGGGCCCCCACACCGCGGGTCCTGCGACACATCTGGATCCTCTATGTAGCAGCCATCCTCTGGGGTGTGGGCAGTGGCCTCAACAAGACCGGGCTCTCCAGTGAGTATAGCCATGGGCACTGGGATGGCTGGGTAACCCTGTGGCTACCTTGGGGCAGTTGGGGGTAGCACATACCTCCCAGGGCTAGACATGGGGTCCCATAGACACACGGGAGGTCTGTCATGGGGTCCGGTATACATGGCAGAGGTAACTGTGGATCCCTGTGGCCGTTACAGGGGTGGAAAGAAGTTCTGTGGACATTGTAGGGACAGATGGGGAGAATTGTGGGCACCCCGGGGGCTGGTGTGGGAGTCCTATGCCATGGACATCCAGTGGCTACCCCAGAGTGGGCATGGGGCCCTGTGGACACTGAGGGGTAGTGTGACATCTATGGCTACCTTGGGTAGGTATGGGCTCTGTGGAAACCTCTGAAGGGCAGTGTGAAAAACATCCAGGGGACACTCAGCTTTCATACCAGGGACAGCGCCCATTGGACAGAGTTTTCATGACACTGGGAGCAGATTCCGTGCCTGTGCCCTAGGAGCATGGGAAGTGTGGGCGGCCCTGCCCACACCCCAGGTGTAGATGTAGGCATGGCCTTTACAGAGAGGACCTGGGAGCCCGATGACGCCCAGTGCTGGTCTGCAGAGTCCAGACCCCAAGTCTGGGCTGCGGGGGTCAAGGCACCGGGAAGCAGGGTCCTGTTTGTGGAAAGGAGGCAGTGGACAGAGTTCAGCTCTGTGATGATCTCTGCCCTCAAGTGGGCATATGCCATGACATGCAGTGGGTACACACAGCTCCGCCGTTGAGGCCCTGTTCCGATGGGCCGAGCCGTTAACTGTTTTGAACGTCGCCCCTCGGGGTGTGGCATTGTGGAGGTCATGCATTCTGGTCAGGTGACCCTGGCACTTACCATCAGAGAGAGAGTCAGGGGGTGGAGCCCCACGCCCGGGACCACGCTCTCTTGGCTGTTTTGCTCAGGGGCAGCCAGCTTTGGGCAGCATCCAGCCTGGGTACCTTGGACCCATGTTATGGCTGGACTTGGGCCTGGTCCCAACAGCTCTGCTTCCTGTCCCCTCTTTGTGGACCCTGGGCTCCATGTCCCTTCACAGCAGCCCCATAGGATACAGTCACCCTGCAGGGCTTACAGTGGGGGTGTTCATTTCCAAGTGGCAGGGGAGGGTACGATTTGCCAGGTGCTGTGTGAGCTTTCTCACATCAAAGCCGCCCAGCATATGTAAAACATAGATGCCTGGTCTCATTTTCCAGATGGGAAAAGTGGCCCTGGAGAGTTGACTTCTCTAAGTCACCCATAGGGCCAGCGTTTGAATCCACGTCTCTGTACCAACTCTCTCACTTTACCGGCCTGAGCATAGAATCTGCGTCCCTGACTCGCTGTCCAGTTCTCCTGCCCACCCCAGGGAGGAGGATTCTTACGGAAATAGGTTCAAATCCCCCAGCGTCAGGTTTAATTTATAGAAAGCTGATTGCTGCAAGCAGGTTGCCTTCCCTGAGCCAGGGGTGAGGAGGAGAAACCGTCCTGGCAGGCCTGGCTCTGAACGCTGGGGTCTGAAAGGGGACGGGATGTGATTGCGCACAAACGTTTCCACTTTTCAAGTCCCGGGTGCCCCAGAGCGAGGCCCACCTGCATCCCATCTCATCTCATTACTCGACTCAGCTGGCCGGGCCGTGTAGTAACCAGCGTATCCACTAGGGGGCAGGCCAGGACCGGTCTGCAGCTTTCTAGGTTTTCCAGCCTCGGGCTGGGACCCCGCACAGCCCAGGAGGGTCACTGGTGGGGGATCAGGGCTCTGGGCCCTGGGTGACACACTCCCCTCCCTGCCCTGTCGGCCACAGCACTGCTGGGCATCCTGTACGAGGACAAAGAGAGGCAAGACTTCATCTTCACCATCTACCACTGGTGGCAGGCAGTGGCCATCTTCGTTGTGTACCTGGGCGCCAGCCTGCCCATGAAGGTGAGGCTGAGTGGGCTGGGGGAGGGCCTCTGGGGCATTCGGCACCCACCATCCCCCAGCTCAGGCAACATCCCGTCCGAGTGCCCGCCCTGGCCTCGTAGCCCCGGAAGGGCACCACTCACCAAGGGTTGGCCCCAAACCCAGACTTCACGTGCTGCCTCACCTCCTGAGGGCCTCAGTTTACCCCTGGCAGAGGGGTTCACAGTTTGCTCTTTGCCTGTGGGGCATCCCAGCCGCCTTGTGTGTCGCTGGGTAACCTGCTCACCAGGTGTCGGGCTCTGAGAGGGATGCTGAAGGTGCGTCTCCCTTTCTGGCCATGGGAGCAGGGTCCTCATGCTCTGCTCCCACTCAGCGGGTGGGTCGGTTTAGCAGGTCCTTCCTGACCAGCATTTATTTTTTTAAATATTTATATTGGTTTCAGAGAGGAAGGAAGAGGGAGAGAGAGGAACATCTATGATGAGAGAGAATCATTGATTGGCTGCCCCCCTGCACGCCCCACACTGGAGATGGAGCTGGCAACCCAGGCATGTGCCCTTGACCGGAATTGAACCTGGGACCCTTCTGTCCGCAGGCTGATGCTCTATCCATTGAGCCAAACCGGCTAGGGCCTGACCAGTATTTTGAAACATGAAACAGAATAGAAAGTGGCGGGGAGTATGTATGCGAGCGTGTAGGTGCTGACTTATGATGCAGAATTCTTTCTGACTGTGGCTTACAGTCAAAACCGTCTGACACGCGTTACTTGTGGTCCCGGCGTGCAAGGGACAGGGTGACCTAAGCCCTGGCAAAGGGGGGCCAGGCCTGTAAAGGGCAGAGCTGGGATCTGAGTCCTGCTGGCAGGAGGGTGGGTGCTCAGGGAAGCGGTGGGCATGGGCCTATCCGGGCGAGGGACTGGGCAGGGAGGCGGGGCGCCGCCCGCGAG